ATACTTTCCCTGTGTAATTACATCGTGACGCCTTGCCTTATGGATGTCACAGAATCAAAAGACAAAACAGAAATAAAAGTACAAAAAGTAAACTTTACAAAATATAAGTAAACTGTACGGGTGCTCACACGGGCCGTGGTAGGTACCACAGTCCGTAAAACCTCTATTGGATTTATTATAGAATTAGTGTGTAACAATGGGTTGACCAAGTATTGTTCACGGACAGTTGCATGGCACGTGGAGTGAACCACAGTCCGTGATAATGCTTGTGAACTTATCTACTAGTGGATGGAATGTAAGTGTGGTCCACGAGTGGTTTCACGGCTCGTGGTGGCTCCATGGTCCATGAAGCCTCTCGTGATCTTACACTTGACCATTCATCCAATCATTTTCTCCCCTAACTTCACTATAGTGTAGGTTGACAGTACCAAACCCCTTTTTTTACATAGGATCACAATGCGATTACTAACACTACTGAATTTCAACAAGCACAATGCCAACAGGAAAAATATTCATTCAATACGCACATGCCCTTGTCATACCCACACACAAATCATCAGTTTTACCCAACGCATACTAATATCCATCAAGCACAAGGCAACTGAACATAATATTCATTCAACCAAACACATATCCACACATCAAAACTTTTCTTCATAAATTCAACTAACCCTCATAAGATCACAACCAATTTAGACAAACACAATTACCACCTACTGTGATCATATCCACATATAGGAACAATCATATTTATGCAATTCAAACTTACCCATAACAATTAGGAATCACCAATTATCATTCATCAACAATAATGCTTAAATTCGACACAATCAAGGTAATTTTAACTCGTTGATTGATAAGTTCATGCATATAACAAGTTAATAGTAAACTTACTTTGAATGGGATCAAAATTATCGCCTAAAAACAGAAGATGAACTTGATGTTAAAGCCTTGGATGAAGGGAATAATTTTTTTTAACCCTTCAGTAACCGTTATAATATGAAGAATGGAGAGAAAATAAGGGGAAAACCTGACCTTTGGTGCTTAGGAAGCTAATATACGTTTCTTTTAATTTTTGATGTTAGCGTGGGTCGGGTCGGGTCAGGAACTTGTCAGACTGGGTTGTCGACAATGGACCGTGAAGTTGCCACTGAAAGGCATCACGGTCCGTGGACACGTCCGTGATCCTGACTTAAAGGCAAAGTACTTACCTATGGTTCACGAGAGGCTAGACTGTCCGTACAAATCGTGACGGACCGTGAACACATTTTTTTTGCAATTACCAGTAGCTCCCTTAGGTTGGTGTTGAGATTGACGGGCCGTGAAGTTTCCCGTGAAGGACACTACAGCCTGTGAGGCTGCTCGTGAAGAGCTGTCTGCACTAAGTTCCTGCATTTCTTAACCCAGTCTCTCCTGCACACATCAACACACACTGACTTTATAAAAACAAAGAAACATAATAAAAAGGAACCTACCTATCACAATTAACATCTTGGGTTGCCTCCCAAGCAGCGCCCAATTTAACTTTGCTGTGCAACACAAGTTACTTGATTACTCAGACTGCATCAAGTTTATATTCATCCACAATTTTCACTTTTTTAGGAACCCCCAAGTATGCCATGATTCACTGGCCATTAGCCTTGAACCTCTCTCCCTTGTCATTCTTTAGCTCAATAGCTCCTGACTAGAACACCTGAGTTACCTTACAAGGTCCACACCATTTAGATCTCAACTTCCCCGGAAACAGACGAAGTCTAGAATTGAAAAGTAACACCAAATCACCAGGAGCGAAGGTTCTCTTCTAAATATGCTTATCATGATATAACTTCATCCTCTCCTTGTACAGTGTAGACTTCTCATAAGCTCTCAAACGGAACTCATCCATCTCATTAATCTAATCTAGTCTAAGGTTTGCACTTTCGCTCCAACTAAGATTCAACTTCTTCAAAGCCCAGAGTGCTTTATGCTCAAGTTCAACTGGTAAATGGCATGACTTTCCAAACACCAATTGATATGGAGACATACCAATAAGCATCTTGAAAGCTGTCCGATATGCCCATAGAGAATCATCTAACTTTCGTGCCCAATTTGTTCTGTTGGCATTCACATTCACTATTTTAGCTAAAATCGCCTTAATCTATCTATTGGCCACCTCCACTTGACCTCTGGTCTGTGGATGATAAGGAGTTGCCACCTTGTGCTGTTTAATCCCGTATTTGGCCAGAAGCGCATTGAATACTTTGTTGTAAAAATGGGAACCACCATCACTGATGATAGCTCTAGGTGTGCCGAACCTTGAATAAGTATTCTTCTTCAGAAAACCAGCAACACTCTTGCCATCATTATCAGGCAAAGCAACTGCCTCAACCCATTTGGACACAGTTAACTGCCACCAATATGTATTTCTGCCCATAGAAGCTCACAAATGGCCTCATAAAATCGACGCCCCACACATCAAAAGCTTCACCTCCAGAATAGGTGACATGGGTAACTCATGGCACCGAGAGATGGCTCCTCACCGCTGGCACACATCATAACTCCTTACTATGTCCATCGCATCTTGATGAATTGTGGGCCAGTAGTACCCACACTGAAGTACCTTGTGGGCTGTTCGAGCACCTCCATGATAGCCACCTACTAGAGAGGAGTGACATGCCTCTAGAATGTACAACATCTCAGCTTCAGAAATGCATCGCCTGATGATGTTAGCAGCACACACCTTGTACAGATAAGGTTCATCCCAAAAAATACTTACCCACATCATGCAGGAACCTCTTCATTACCGCAAACGTCATCCCCTCAAGCATCAAGTCACTAAAAAGAAAGTTAGAAAAATCAGCAAACCGAGGAATAAGATCAAGAGTAGCAGCTAATACCTGCTCATCCGGGAACAAATCATTTATTTTGAGTTCGAGTTCCTCTTTCTTTACAGCCTCCAACCTCGACAAGTGATCAACCCCCTTGTTCTCACAACCTTTCCTATCCTTAACCTCAAAATCAAACTCCTGATGAAGTAACACCCATCTGATCAACTTTGGCTTTGCATCTTTCTTTCCATGAGGTATCTCAGAGTTGCATGATCGGTATTGACTATCACTCTAATACCCTGCGAGTAAGCTTTGAATTTCACAAAAGCATACACCACCGCCAGTAGTTCATGTTCAGTAAATGTGTACTTTCGCTGTGATCCATTCAGTGACTTACTAGCATAGTAAATTGGATAAAACATCTTGTTGTGCTTCTGCCCCAACACAACTCCTAAAGCAGTACCACTAGTATCACACATTACCTCAAATGGCTCAGCTCAATTTGGGCCAATGATCACTAGTGCAAAAATAAGCTTTTCCTTTAGGTATTCAAAGGCTCTGAGACATGCCTCATCAAAAACAAATTTCACTTCCTTCTCCAAAAGCTTGCACATGGAGTGTGCAATTTTATATAAGTCCTTAATGAAATGCCTATAGAATCCGGCATGTTCTAAGATACTTCGAACATCCTTCACACAAATAGGTGGAGGGAACTTTTCAATCACCTCAATTTTAGCCTTGTCGACCTCTATCCCCTTCTGTGACACCTTGTGCCCAAGGACTATGCCTTCCTTGACCATGAAATGGCACTTCTCCCAGTTCAGCACTAGATTTGCCTCCTCGCATCTCTGTAAGGCCCTGCTAAGATTAAGAAAATAATCATCAAAAGTGTCACCTACCACTGAAAAATCGTCCATGGATACCTCCAAAGTGTCCTCCACCATGTCCGAGAAGATAGACATCATACATCTCTGGAAAGTTGCTGGTGCATTACATAGTCCAAATGACATGCGTTAGAATGCAAAAGTACCATAAGGACATGTAAATGTGGTATTTTCCTGATCTTCAGGAGCAATTGATATCTGGTTGTAGCCAGAGTATCCATCTAAGAAACAGTACCACCGTTTTCCAACCAACCTGTCAAGCATCTGGTCCATGAATGGCATCGAGAAGTGGTCCTTCAAGGTCCACTCATTTATCTTCCTTAGTCCATGCACACTCGCCATCCAGTGACTGGTGTTTGTCTGACCAACTCATTCTCTGCATTCACGACCCTAGTCATACCACCTTTTTTGGGTACACATTGCACTGGGCTGACCCAGTGACTGTCAGAAATGGGGTACACCACCCCATCATCTAACCACTTGATAATCTCCTTCTTGATCACCTCTTAATTCGGTGGGTTTAACCTTCATTGGTGTTCCATGCTTGGGCTGCAATCCTCTTCAAGCTGGATCTTAATAAGTGCATATACCCAGAGGTATCCCGATGATGTTAGCAATGGTCTACCCAATTGCCCTTTTGTACCTTATCAACACTTTAATCACAACTATGACCTGTTTATCATTCAAATATACAGCTAAGATCACAGGTAAAGTGTTGTTAGTACCCAAAAGTACATACCTCAGGTGACTGGGCAGCTATTTCAGTTCCAGCACAGGTGGCTCCTCAATAGATGGTTTTGCTGGAGGACTTGACATATTTTTCAAATCCAAGTCCAGTTTCTCTGGAAATGAAGAGTGTGCTCCCATTCCTTCCAAAACGTTCACGGTCTCTACATAATCATCCCGAAAATCAGCTTCAAAGTTCATCAACACAGCTGCTAATGTTTGAACAACCAACCTCTCTTCAATGGTTGCTCCCATCTCTTCTTCATCAACAACTTCTATTGCAGACACCACATTCATGTCATGTGGTTGTTTCATTGACCGGCAGATATTAAACTTTACCTCTTCCTTGTTGAGTCTGAACTTTAGTTTCCTCTCTCAACATCTACCAAGGCCCGTCCTGTGTCCATAAATTTTCTTTCCAAAATTATGGGAGCCTCAAAATCCACTTTGCATTCCAAGATCATGAAGTCTGCCGGAGAGATGAACCTTTCCACCTTTACGAGCATGTCACATAGGATGCCCACAAGCCGCTTCACTGACCTATCCACCATCATCAACCTCATTGATGTGGGTCTTGGAACTCCTAACCCAGTTGCTTGTAGATGGCCAATGTCATCAAGTTTATATTGGTCCCTAGATCACACAAGGCCTTTGCAAATTTGATTGATCCAATGGTACATGGTATAGTGAATGGACCTGGATCTTTCTTCTTCTGTACCAGAGATCTGGTAGCAATAGCACCGCAGTGATGAACATTATTAGTCAAATCAATACTTACAACTCTTTTTTTTGTAACCAAGTCTTTCATGAACTTTGCATATCCTGGCAACTTCTCCAGGGCTTCAACCAAAAGTATGTTTACTAACAGTTGTCTCAGCATGTTAATGAACTTTGCAAACTTCCCATCTTCAGCCTTCTTTTTGAGCCTTTGAGGGAAATGAGGAGGTGGTCTTGGTATCTGCTGAAGAGTCATAGTTCCCTCAACCTTTTTTTCTTTTGCTCTTGCTGGTTTTTCTATTGATTGAGCATCTTCCAAATCATCTACTTGGTGAGCTTCATCCTCTTCTCTTCCAACTTGTTCCAACACCTGCTCATGTTTAGTACTTGCAGAAATTGGGTCATCAAGAATCTTACCACTCCTGGTGGTGATAGCCATGCAATGCCCGTCCTTCTTAGGATTTCGGATCATGTCACTTGGTAGTGACCCATTCTTCCTCTGATTTAATGAGCCTGAAAGTGGCCCCAACTGCTGCTCAATTTGTTTAATGGAGGTAGTGTGAGAGTCTACCAATTGACTCATATTGGAGAAATCACCTTTCATCTCCTTTACCCCTGCATCAGTTGATTCAACTTTTTGTAGCACTTTGGCCAACATGTCTTCTAGCTTAGACCCACTGGAACTACCACTTGTCTGGTCTCTATTACCTAGGGGTTCATACACACCACTACGATTATTTCTATACCCATCTCTGTTCTGCTAGTTTCCCTGCTCTCTGTATGCTGACCGATTATATTGTCCTTCTCTAGAGGAGTTCCGACATGTGTTTCCAGAGGTGTAACCCTTGTTTCCTGAGTTATAATTCCAGAAACCTCCTTGGTTGCCCAGATAATTAGCTTCCTCATCGAGATCGATATGCTTATCTTCATACCTGTTCGGCTGACCCACAACGTTTACCTTTTTAGATTTTGAGGCAATATGCTTTGAGAGTATATCTTTTTAGGTCCTCATGTGTGCCATGTCCTAATCCCTTTCTTCTTCTGTTTTCCTTTGTTCAGTTGAAAGTTGAAAAGTGTACCCAAGATCTCCTACTTCTGCATCTCTGGTGTACCATGCCCTATTGTTCTTTGACACCTCGTCCATCTGCTGCATGCTCTCTGAGAATGGCTTCCTCATGAATGATGCTCCGCAAACTGCATCAGCAACATGTTTAGTAACATAATTTAAGGATGTATAGAAAGCCTGTTTTAGATGTCTCTCAATAAGACCATGGTTTGGGCACTTCTTCAGCTTTTGGCTGAATCTCCACCAAGTGTCATGCATTGCTTCTCTTGATAATTGCTTTGATTTCGGAAAGAATCATTCCAGGAAAGCCTCATTCAACTCAGTCCAAGTCCTGATTGAGTCATCTGACATCTCATTCAACCAGTTGGTTGCCTCTCCAGTAAGAGACAATGGAAACAACCTTAATCTCATCGCTGTTTGGCTAACTCCAGGCATTTCTTGTGATTTGTAGATCGCCACAAAATTCATTAGATGCTGATTAGAATCATCACCATACCTTTCAGATTTAACCGTTGAATCATAGTGCTGGTGATTGTGAATTTCACACCTGGAGGTAGTGTAGGTAACACTATTGCTCCTGTAGCTCCTACTCCATCCAAGTCAGCATCATCTTCTTCATACGTCATGTGAGCTAGATGCTGTTTTCTTCCCCATGGAGATTTTGGTTGGCGGTTGGGTAGAATTAGTCCATCTACTCCTTAGTTTTCTTCCACCACTCTAGGCTGGTTATTCCCAACGTTCTGCTGAACACCTCTTGCAGCAATTTCAGCTTCCTATCCCAACCTTTGCCTCTGTGCCTTAAGTTCTTATGCATTCACCATTTTTTGAAGTCTTTCGAAGTTCTGGACCATAAGGAATCAATGGAGCTCCTTTACTCCTAGTATTTTGCATGCACAGTAAAACTCACCAGAAAGAGACAGAGACAAAGAACACGACGTAAAATTAAGAAATATAACTACAAAACGAATAAAAGCTAGTAAAACACTTCTGAATTGAAATTCCCCGGCAGTGGAGACAAAATTTGATACGTCCAAACTTACACCTCAATTAAGAGATATAAACGATCGAAGTCAATTTACAGAACTCAACATGAGTTGAGGTAGATCCCACAGAGAATTTCTTTACAAAAATGATTTTAGTGTGGCGTTTACTCAAATGTCGTTATTATTTCCTAAAGAAACAATTATAGAAAGTAAACTGGGTTTAGTTGTAATGTTCTAGTAACTAAAATTTGTAATCAAAATCCATATTAACAATTAACAGAGCTATCAGTTCTCAGTTTGTTTCAATGATTAAAAGAAACTAGGATTGTATTCCCCATAACGTTCACCTAATGTTCTTCGATAGTTGAGTTTCAGGAAATTTAACTCTACAAAATACAGACGAGTTTGATATCTTTGATACTTCTCAATCTAATCAGATAATGTTCCCTCAAGTCCTCTCGGTCCCAGAGTGTTACTAGTTTTACCCTCATTTACAATGGTGTTAAAGTTCTTTTCTCTCGAACTCAAACATTGACTCCATTTCTTCTAGCTAATTTAGCTTTTTCCTAACTACTATTTTTCTCTCGAACAAATAATAGATCCAGTCTCACTCCAATGCGTGCAATAATCAAAATACGTTAATAATTAATGCTAGATTATAATTTGCAAACATAAATCGCCTATCACTCATTTTACGGAATTACATTTCAATTCACGTCATATATCCCACAATCCCAGTTGTGGTATTTAGCCACTCATGATTTTACGTAAACATTTAGAAATACAAAATGAAAACATGTTGAGAAAGTACTTAGAGAATAAGCAAATCAATAAGCTACTTCGATAATTCAAGAACCGGAAATCCAAACTTCAAACTTAATTAAATGTTAAAATCAAAAACCAAAAGATTCGAATAATAGAAACTATGTTCTTCGTTCAACATCAGACTAGATATCCAAAAAAACAAAAAACGCCCTAATTAATTCAAATAAAGTGTTTTAGAAAAAGTCCTACTCGAAGTAGGACTTACTTGTCGGACACTTCACGACCACTTCTACGACCCATCAAGGGCTTCACGGTCCGTGAAGGCCCCCATGGTCTTCACTTAGTACTTCTGCAGTGTTGCATCTTCAAGGTCAACTCACTAGGTAGGTACTACGGGCAACTCCACGGACCGTCATAGGGACCACGGTTCGTCATAGTGTCCGTGGTGTTTACTTGGTCACTTCCTATTTAAGCTTCTCGAGGACTAAGTACTGGATAATTTTCACGATCACAACCACGGGTGGTTATGGTGACCACGGCCCGTGGAACCTTTCGTGGTCTTCAGTTGGTTGCTCATGCACTCCATCTTCCCAAGGCCCAATCAATGAGTCAGCTTCACGAGCTCAACTATGGACCGTTATGAGGACCACGGTCCCTGAGGATGGCCGTGATCTTTACTTGATCCAACCAAATCTCAACTTCTCCAAGCCTTCATACTGGAAATACTTCACGACTGGCACCACGGTTCGTGACAGGGACCACGACCCGTCTAGGTACATGTGGTCTTCACTTGATCACCATCATCTTCTGCTTCTTTTTCCAATTTCCCACACAAGTAAGAATCTGTCTACACATTCATAAAACACATCAAAGCATACAAAAATACACTCAATTCTATTATTAATCCTTAGTTTTCAAGCATCAAATATGCCAAGATTTTGTGGCACATCACTCAACTCGACAATGATTGCAATGAAATGATCTAAATTAATTTATAACATAGGAACATATCCTACACTATCAAAATACAAGACTTTAACCTCACATAAAACTAAAGACTTCACTTAATCCTTCGATCAGTTCCCTTGCCGCGTATAAGAATATATACCTTTTTAAGAAGAATGATTTTTGCTTTTGTGAAAATGTGATTGTAAAAACTAGGTTATTTCTTGAAAAAATGACCAATATAAGATGGACAAAACAATCTAGTGCAGCGCAATTGTTGAGGACTCTATTTGTTAGTTACTGTACCTTACCAACCACTGCAGCTGTGGCAGCTTTATAGCTGTCCTCTGAGACATGTCTGAAACTTCAGCCACTAATGAGATCAAATCCCTTACTAGGTCCCATGATTTATTAAATCATCAAAACTTCATAATATAACATTTTCAATTTAAAATAGTTTCGCTGCAAACATCCATAATATTATATTAATGTATTAACTTACATATGTAGAGCATGTCATCAACAATATATGACATGAAGAAAAAGGAGAAAATATATTTATTTAATACAATACCACAGAGGGAAATAAATAAATAAAAGACTTATCACATGTAAGTAGCTAGTGATGATATGGAAAAGTTGCTTGCCTTCCATTTTTTTTTCTCTTTTGGAGAAATCTTTGCAACGATTTTTTCATGGAAACTCTTGTTTGTGATGGTGATAATGGATCCGAAAATGATGACATTGTCTTTGTTTTCTCCTCCATTTCCTTATTAGCAAGATGTATTTAAGCTCTGGCCTGTCATACCAGAAAAAAATATAATTTATAACATAACAACTCATTTATTATAAAAGAAATTTAAATAAATATCATATTTTTACTTTACAGTAACAACATTTTTCACTCTTTAAGTGAAAATGTGAAAGAGGCTTAACTAATATATATTGATATTGTAAAATTTCGTATTTTTACTAAGTAGTATAGGAGTATATTTCAATTTATGCTATAACAATAGTATGACTTGCTTGTACGCTACTAACTAAGGAAAGAGATTTGAAATATATTTGAACTTTGACTGAAATAGCTGTAAAAATTCCAAACTTTGGGTAGGACCTATTAACCCCATGCACTATTTAATAGTGTATTTTAAAGATATATAAGTACCCACCTGGACAAGTTACTATTTATAATGATGCAATATCTATGATGTCCATGTGTACACCTATATATCTTTAAAATACACTATTATAAAAAGTGCAGGGATTAATAGGTCCTACCCTAAGTTTGGAATTGTTGTATTTTGGTCCAAATTCAGATATATTTCGAACCCTTTTCCCTACTAATTATAGAAGATATAAATTAATTTTTCGAAATCGTACTCAATCCTGTAGTATCTAAGGAAAATTTAGAACATGTCTCTTCCTTAAGAAAATTACTTCATTTTATTTTACCCCCACCCCCCATATCTAATTAAAAATGGAATTTTCCATTACAATAATTATTTTTGCTAGTCAAATATAAAATAAGAACATCATTTCATCATTTCAAAAGTAAAATAAATATTTGTTATTATTTCGATGAATAACTATTTACATCAATTTCTTACTAAATTTATAAGTTCTATCGGATTTTTTTAATTATGAATTTCCATGTAATTTCAGTTCAATTTTTATTAACAAAATTTTCTAGACCACTTCCCACGAACATGGAAAAAAGTTGCATAATTACTTATACTCATATTGTAATTTAGCCAATAGCCCAATTGGAAGAATCTATTGTACCTTTTATGTTTTGACATATAAATATATATGTGTAGATTGAGGAAGCAATATATATGAATTGTAGTTTAGACTATATAAACTACAATTTTTGAATCCATCTCTAGGTAGTTAAGGAGCACTTTCTCCTTTAATAAGTTTTATATGATACAAATTTCAATTAGTCTAGTTATTAATGGATATCCAATACTAAATGAGAAAAAAAAAGACATAAGGGAGAAATTGAACTTCAAAAATTCAAAACATGTATAGACTTAGTTAGGGGTGATATGGCAATATTACTCAAAAACTCCTCATGAACTCTTTTGAAAATCGGTGTTTCATCTCTTCTTAAATGTATAAACATTTACTCTTGGGAATACTTAGTT